ATTGATGATTCAGTGGTCCTCATCCAGTTCAGCTCTCTTCCAAAAGTGTCTGTGCAATCAGAAGGTTGACGGTTATTTAGCCGTGTTCTTTCATTATTATGCAGTTGCTATGTTCTGAATAGTTGATAAGGCATCGCTAAGAAGTTGCCAGGTGGTTTCTAAGGTTTTGCTGTGGCTGTCAGGGCATTGCTATGGATCTGAGATGTTTTGGGTGATTGTCAGTGTGTTCAAAGGTGTCCGGAGTGACTGTGAGGGCGTTGCTATGCATCTATAATGCTCTGTGGTTGCTAAGGTGCTCGGAGTAGTTACTAAGCATTTGTGTGAGAATGTTCTGCATGGTTGCTAAGCAGTTAGTTTAATTTGTGAATAAAGGAAAGTGGCATTCATCAAAGCATTTGAAATACCGAAACATATTCAAAATAATTTCATGGTACATAAACTATTTTATATACACTTTATTTCTGCTGTGCTGTTGGCTGTTTTGTCCCAGTGCTCTAGACACAGAAACTTAGTTCAAACGGAACAGTGGCTAATTTTCAGATCCAGTCATTACACATTTTGTGGCCTTTAAATACTCTCGATTACACGTGCCTGGTCAGTGTGTTTGCATCTTGTTGGAGGATCCTGGATTTGTGTAAACTGAATGCTTCCCCATTTCATACAATTAGGACTGGCTGTCATCAAACCTGTGTTTCCTCGTTCAGGTGCTGGATTCACTCACAGCGGTCACATCGTGACTCCGTTCATAAAGCTTAGCAAGAAAAACCAGTTGGCATACTTCTAAAACTATGACTATTCTCTCTCACTCTATTATTAGGGCCCGAGCACCGATGGTGTGAGGACCCTATTGGAATTGCTCCGTTTCTTATTCTTCTTCTTCTTCTTCTCCAAAGTGAATCGCATTTTTGAGGGCCTAAACATTCTCCAAAACTCATGAAACTTTGCACACACGTCAGAACTGGCGAAAATTTACATCTGATATGGGTTTCAGAAGTGGGTGTGGCAAAACGGCTCGATAGCGCCACCTGTAAAATTTCAACGGAGTGCGCCTCGAGCTACGTTTTACGTACATGTACGAAAATCGGTATTCTGCAAATCAGCATTCTGATATGCTGATTTGCTGCTCAAAAAACATTTATTATTATTATTATTATTATTAATATTTTAAATAGTTGAGTATATGGTTTTCAGGATTCTTTGATGAATAGAAAAATCCAAAGATTAGCATTTATCTGAAATAAAAAGCTTTTGTAACATTATACACTGTACCATTCAAAAGGAGTCTGTATAATTTTTTTTAGGGGGGTAGGGGTAAGGGGGTTAGAAATTATAGAAATTAATACTTTTATTCAGCAAGGATGCTTTAAATTGATCAAAAGTGATGATAAAGACATTTATAATGTTACAAAAGATTTCTATTTCAGATAAATGCTGTTCTTCTGAACTTTCTATTCATCAAAGAAACCTGAAAAAAATTATACTCCGCTGTTTTCAACAACAATAATAATAAGAAATGTTTTTTGAGCAGCAAATCAGCATATTATACTGATTTCTGAAGGATCATGTGACACTGAAGACTGGAGGAATGATGCTGAAAATTCAGCTTTGATCACAGAAATAAATTACATTTTAAAAATATATTGAAATAGAAAACAGTTATTTTAGATGGCAATAATATTTCACAATATTACTGTTTTTGCTGTATTTTGGATCAAATAAATGCAGCCTTGTTGAGCAGAAGAGAATTCTTTCAAAAACATTAACAATCTCACTCTTCAAAAAGTGTAGCAGGAGAAAAATGGCTTAAGATGAAAGTCCTCTTTCATACTTCTGTCTATCTGCTTTTAGACTTCCGCTATGTATCTAGCAAACATTCACCTGTTTGCTCAGCGGCAGGTTCTGACACACATGCTCAGTGAACTTTACACGCTCAGCAGATGATCCTTACAGCTACAGTGAAAAATACTGTTGGACACAATGTCAGTCACTTCATGCTAATTTCGAGTCACTGCTCTGATCATCTGCTGTGAGTTACAGCTACAGCACTTCTGCTTTTTTGGTTAACAGATCTTTCAGATTTTCATGTACACACATTATCAAAAGAACATCTATTAGCTTCAGTAAATTAGGTCAAATCAAATATACAGTATGTTTTATATGTATTGCACAATCATAACATATTGATCAGCAGCTATCCTGTTTAATATACACCCATAAAGACATTTGAAACATGGATTTATGATTTTTTTCTTCTTCTTTTCAGTAAAACTGCCCATGTGTGTCCTCTAGTGGCCACTTACCTTTACTGCATAAATGTGCATTTCATAACTAAATGGCAAATTAAAAAAAGAGCAACTGTCAAAATAAAATTTATTTATATATAATTTATTAATGTAGAATTTAAATCGTATAGTTAAACACAACTTTTAACATTCATTTTAATTGACAATTTGCTTTTGAAAAAACTTGCTTTATTTACATTTTGAATTTTTAAATTAATAATCAGCTATTTTTAAGTGGAACTCTTCCTCTATTCAGTTCAAACGCCTTTGATTACATTAGCATTTTTATACAACATTATTTAGTGCTGATGTAACAAGGACGGGATGATTTTATAGTCTCATTATATATGTGATTATGAGTATAACCCATCTGCCTACAGATAAATATAAGCCTCAGATTTCCACACACACCGTCATCAAGTTCTTTTAAGTCTCAATACAAATATGTTGCATGTCAACATTTATAACAATGTTAATTTGTTCAACTTGTTGAATGTCCACATGACACCACAATCCCAGTTTAATCCTACAGATTGCAGGAAGTGTGAAAGCCAAGACCTCATAGAGATTAATGAGCCTTGACGTGTGTGTGTGTGTGTGTGTGTGAAGCGCAGCTGAAAACAGAAACCCTTTGTCCTGCATGTCCATCCTTGTAGGTGTCAATCAGCAGGTGATCTGGTTACAAAGACATGCGAGAACAGACACAAAGGTCATACACATCAACAATACAGTCAAGGTAGAGTAGTTGTGCTAGTGAGACGTTATTCATATACTGTATATTTAGTATGTGACATTTAAGACACAAAGGATTGTCTACTTCCATAAAGGACACTTTGTAAACAAAGGTTAACATTTTGGCACTCAGAAAATGACTATTTTCGTGATCATAAACTGTTTAAAGCAGGGGTTCCCAAAAACGGTGGGGGGGGGGTGTTATATTGTAAATAAGTTATATTGTAAACACATGCCATCATAAATATGAAAAAAAAAATTATATCAATCAAGCAGTTTATAAGATTACAAATTAAAGTGTCATAAAAATTCAGGAAATAAACATCTTAAGGAACTTGTAGTACATATGTTTGGCAATCTGTAACTGATGGTAAGTTGGCCCCTCAATATCCCCTCAAAAGAGAACACACATGTCCTGAGAACTACAGGGGACTTAATGCACCGCACTGGCTAAAAAAACCCTCAAAATTATACGTTTTACCAGAGAAAAACAAATAAAGCTCCATAGGCTCCTATATAGAGTGACTGTTTGAGTCTCTATCCCAGAAATCTTTTTTTCCAATCATCTTGCTTCACGAGAAAAAAAACAAAAACATTTAGAGCAAAAATTAAGCCTGTTTTAAAACTATTACGATTTTTTGCATCATAACATTTTGTAATTTGGTCATTTGTTTTTACATTTTGTAATATTGGTAATGATTAATGACTGTAATATAATACATTTTCACATTACAGTAATCGGAATAAGATTTGTGTAAATTTATGCTAAATGAGATACAAGAATTACACAAATCTGAGGTGAGAGGCCCTACGTGCAGGGCTGCCCTCGACTAAAGATTTTTATGATCGACTAATAGTTGTTAATTCAAAGTGATTAGTTGGCTAATCGCACGTTTATATTAATAAACCATATAATTCATAATAATGAGCCTTTAGCCTAACCATGCCTATAGCCTAAAGCTTGCCACAGCGCACCACAGAAGAAATGATTATGAATGCATCAGGGAAAAACAGCAAGAAGACTGCCTTAACATCATAATACTTCATTGATAAACTAGTGTTTTCTGTATTTTCGGCTGCAGTGATGAAGTAGACGACACTGACTCGTCATCTCCACAGTGGACATGCACGTTTCATACGGATTACATCATCTGAAAATATTTGTTTTCCATTTGAATTGGTTCATTTAAAAGTTGACATTTTGCTTTCTATACTTTTCATGTCTGTGAGTTAAGCACAGAGTATCGGTTCTTTTTTTTTTTTTTTGACACGCTCAAGTTCACAGAGACCTAAACGGCAGAAAGCGCACCCTACTTGTTTTCATTATTTTACAAAAGCACAACGTTTTGTTGTTATTGTGAGTGCACACAAATAAAAGCAAACCTTTTACAGATTCGAAAGATGTATTACTCTTATCTGTATAACCAAAAATATCATTTTAAGTTAAATGCAAATGATTGCACCGTGGTGTTATGCTGAATTCTGCACCCCTGCCAGATTCTGCACCCCCTCCTTGAAGTCGCTAACTGATTGCCTAATCCCAACCCGGACCCCTCCCCCACACCTACTCATAAACCTACAAGCGAGCGGCCATGTAATGATGCTACTACTTACATGTTTCAGATGATAAGCCACAGGTCCCAAACGAATGTCCTGACCGATGTACTATAATTACCACATAGACCAGCTGTTAATCATCTGTCCGTCACAGACTATGTGACTTCGCCACTTCCTGTGGATTTTTTTGTCCCTGCGTCTAACACAATTTTGATCGACTAAGCCTCTTCTCGTTGACTAATGGTTAGTCTACTGTTCGGGGGCAGCCCTACCTAAGTGTCATTAAAATAATTTGAAAATTAAAAAATATTTAATGCTTCTAAAAATAGGCTTAATTTTTTATGCAAAAAGTAATTTCGTCTTTCTTTCTTTAGTTTTTAGTGAAATATGACCTGGGCATGTTTTTTTATTTATGAATGGTAATGTATGACCTGGACAGGCTTTGTGAGATTCATGCTGGAGGTCGGAGGTCACATAAGTTCAGATAAGTGTGCACAGCTCCTCATCGGTTAACTGGTTGACCTCCATGATTTTATGAAGCTGCTCCGTGTAGCGCGCTTGGTCCTGCAGGAAGTGAGGAATCCGCACGTGCGCCAGCAGAGCCAGACTCTTCAGACGCTCCACGTCCTCATAAGACACCTGCACAACACACACACACACACACACACACACAGTTAAAAATATGGCTGCATGATTGTGGGAAAAAATGTAAATGTGATTTTTCACTCGTTAAACTAGCAAACTTTTATTTTGACAGAAAACCACAGGGAGTCCTTAAAGCTTCTCTTTTGCGCTTCACATTTTAAGTATGGGAAGATTGCTGGCTCATGTTTTGTTCCCAATTGCATGTTAAAGACACTCAAACTCAAAGCAGATGCAGAGATGGAGTTCATGTTGAGCAGCATCTACTGTGAACTGATCCGAGAAGCTAAAACATGGATTATGAGCTGCTCACATGTAAATGAACCCAGTGCTGCGCTTCACTGAAACATGCAACGCATATATTTCTGTCTGTCATTCTGTCTGTTTAGCATGGTAATATACATGCTGCTGTGAGAATGTAGGAAATACTGCTGCTGAACAAAAAAAATATTTGAAATAACTCGCGCATATAACACATGAAATCACCCCGTAGAGATCTATACAGGTGGAGCTGGGGAAGATGGAGGGTTTCTGAAGCGAGCTGCAACTGCTCCCGTAAGCACTAGCTGAGTATTTGTATGTTAAGCAGCAAGCTCAATGGCTGCTGATGTGAAAAGAAACCAATCAGCTGTGCCATGTGAATGATGATGTAATTATAGCAGATTGAGTTAGAACCTATCGGCCTGCATCATCTAGAATTTCATGATAAAACTTTGTATTTATTTAATTGAATATTGTGATTTTGGTTACATTTCGATTAATTGTGCAGCAAAAAAATAAATAAAATCAAGTTAAAAATAAAGTGTGTCAGTAAAGTAACACTAAATTGTGCATTTGAACATGTTGACTTCAAACTGACCTTGCCCAGAGCCATGAGCAGCTGGAAGTCAATCTTGTCTCTGTGCCTGAGGATCTTCAGGATGCCATCTAGATAAACTTGGTCTTTACTGAAACAACCTTAATAACAAAAATATTTGATTATTTACATGCATAAACACAATGATAATTCTGTAAGTCATTAAGCCTGAGAATCAGGAATAGTGGTTGACCGATATATTGCCAAGGCCGATATATCAGCTAATAATTGGCATTTAAAAAAAAATATCAGCACTGTTTAGTAATTGTTGGTTACATTGTTTTCCTTTCTTTTTATTCATATTTGTAACAATTTATTTATTTGTGAAAAATACTGTAATATAATTATAGAATCATTGCCATCTAAATAAATATTTTTACCTTACAGATTAATTTTTTTATCAAGTTCAAAATTTGTTTTCATATTTATTAATTTTCAAATTTAGTAAATATTATGTAAAATAAATGTTTAATTTCAGCAATTGTTATGCAGGTTTTTACTATCTTTAAATTAAACAGTGTGATATCAAATATATATCTTCTTTATATCGGTCATCAGCCACCCTCCTCTATAAGATATCGGCATCAAAACAATCCATATAGGCTGACCACTACTCAGGAGGAAGTGCTGTACCTGGCAGTGCTGTGTCGGTCTGTCCTCGTTTGGCTCTGACGCAGTAGTCCCATCGTGTGTTGGGGTCGTGGATGAATCGGCCCAGGTTGTGAAACAGCTGTGAGAAGGACATGCGGCTGGCCTGGTAGACGGTGTAGTAGAGCAGGGCGGCGCGCCACAGCGTGGGGCCCTTGCGGAAGAGCACGCTGTGGATGCTGGCCAGACCCTCCTCAGTGGGGTTGATGGGCCGCAGACCGTGCTTCTTCCTGCCGCCGCCGCTGCTCCACGGCTGGTGACTGTTGTTGATGCCGCGGAAGTAGTGCGTACCTGTGTGAAAGATGAAGGCGGGTTTGCTTTAGCAACCAAATCACAACAATCTGGATTCATTAATTCATACTGGAAGTTCATCAAAATTAATAGCCACTATAATAACTATTAATAATTTGTAGTTAGCAAATGAATCTCACTGTTGTCATTTAATACACAGAGGCCCCCACTGTCCACAACAATATTCGAAGAACCATTACTTTGAAGGATGAATGAACAGGATGTTTAAAATATATATGTTTTAATCAATATTTCTACCAATAACAATAATTTAGAGTGTGGCATAACTTAAGAAAATGCAAGTATAAGCAAAATTAATAGAGATGCTTTAATCATCATTTACAATATATAAAAATGTAGATGACGCTTGAATTTAGTAAAGCAGCTAAATTCATTCACGATTATGAGCTATTGTCACACTCCTTGTGATACCCTTTTAGCATACTAAAATTACACTTTAAGCAGTACTTATTATGGAAATAATAAAAATATACTTCAATATACTGTAATATGATATACTTTAAAAGAATATACTAAATGTAAGACACTAAACTGTATGCTAACCACAATTCAAATGAAATTGTATAATAGTTTAAATTTATATTAAACGCAATTAGCTTTTTTACCCCGCTTAAGTAGGACTTAAGTACATCTTTTTATGTCATTTCATATACATGTGCTTTAGTATGTTATTCAACACATCAAAATAAGTGTACTACTTTAAAGCACGACAAAAGATTCTTAAAACAATGATTTAAAATGATTAAAAACTTGTAATTTGACATTATAAAATGCACTTTTGAAAAATGTACTTAAGTGTTAAGAAAGTCAGGATTGTCTCTCTTTAAGTACAATTAAGTGTTCTTTTATTTTATAAATATTATATGATCTGCAAGTACAGTTTTTTTAAATGCACTTTCAATATTTGAAGTACACTACAAGTGCACTAATAATACAATTAAACACTTCTTTTTCACAAGGGACTCGCTTGTGACTACTGAACATATCTTTATTCTTTACTAAAGCATTACAAATAGTTGCTAGGTTATGTCTCCAGCAGCCAACCCCTGATTTCTGAGCAGACAATCAGAGGAAGTGAAGGAGAGAGAACACACAGCGTGGGAGTGTAATTACTGTGGTCCTGACACTGAGCTCTGATACGCTCAGGCTGTAATAGTCCATGACAGCAGGAACACAAGCTGTTGCCGACATGGACGGCTGATTTTCCTGGGGTGACCGAGACACGATCCAAAGTACAGAACACAAGGGACTGGAGCTGGTGGATCGTGTAAGACTTGAATGGGTCTCACTATTCTATTCAGTTCTCCAATAGGAGACTCAATGGACTGTCAGATGCTGACATAGACAAACACGCACCGATTTCATGCCTCAGCATCCCCTCCAGCCATTGCTCTCTGGCAGTAGAGATGTTAATGGTGAGTGTAGGTCTGCTGTTCACCACAGTCATAGACGCTCTGGACAGGAGGTCATCAGTAAGATTAACCACAATCTGCAGAGAGAGGAATTTCTACATTCAAATGTCATAAAGCTCTCACAATAATAAAAATATCAATAAACTACACTACCATTCAAAAGATTGGGGTCAGTAATAGCAGCAAGTCAGCATATTATACTGATTTCTGAAGGATCATGTGACACTGAAGACTGGAGCAATGATGCTGAAAATTCAGCTTTGCATCACAGGAATAAATTACATTTTAAAATAGATTCAAATATAACAGTTATTTTCGATTGTAAAAATATTTCTAATATTTTACTGTATTTTTGATCAAATAAATGCAGCCTTGCATAAGAGACTTCTTTCAAAAACATAAAAAAATCGTACTGACCACAAACTTCAAATAATTTCGTATTTTTCTCTACTTTTTGATGTTCATGAGATTTTTTTGGTTGAATTAAAAGTGGAGTTAACTGTGAATATGCATAACGCTTCTTCTCCCTCACCTCTCCCATGCATCCTTCCTTCTCCATGTATTTTTTGACATGGTACCAAATTCGGCTCTTGGTGAGGAGGTTTCCTCCAGTAGCCTGTTCAAACTTCTCATAGGAGCCGTATTTATGCAGGGCCAACTCCATGATCCGCACAGCCTGAGACGACAGCAAACACTCAAAGATGAGCAACAGGAGACAACTTTTACAAATTCAGCAAAGCAAGGCCTCGTTGGTGGTTTAATTGTTTTCGTTTATGCCAGGGGTCATTCTTTTAAAAACAGATACCATCGCACTTTAGATTTTTGATTCTAATATAAATGTTTTACTTTACAATACTTTAAATATTAAATTTTTTTATTTATTTTACTAATTAATAATTCATGTATTTTTATGTCGATTTTCCAATTTTCCAATAAGGTTCCCTTGTGTAGAAATGTACGATAGTAGGACTGATATTTGGGGCTTTGAGATAAACTCTGGCTGTGTAATGCAGAGGCATAGCTCAAAATAACGCTTGATTGTTATGTCATGAATGTACAGACCTCAGTAAATAACTAGGCCATAGCTGGGACTTTGGTGCGGTGTGGATTTATGAAAACTGATTTGTGATATGTCAGGATATGCCTGAGGTTGATCCACACAGTGAGCTCGGCACTCTGAGATAATCAATATAATGGTCTGAAATGAATCCATTTATCCTTTGCTGCAGCACACAAAGCTCTAAAACAGCCACTATATCCTACTATATGTTCATTTAAACATTAACCAACTCGCTGGTAAAATATAACTTGCTATGTTGTTTTTGTTGGCTTTTGCAGCCAGGGAAACTATTATGGGATATCTGATGCCCTGTACAAAGTGCTCTGTGTTGCTCTCACAGTGTTGGCTCTGTTAATAGCTAGCAGGAAACTGAATTAAATTGAATTAATGAACTCCTTCAAGGAGGTTTATTAGTCTGATTGTGTTGTTGGCAGCACCTACAGTTGTAGCACATTGCTTTGAGCTGCTGAGCCTGAGACGCAGCTATAAAGGTAAAGCACCTGTTTCTAACTTAATCAATGTTGAACGTATAGAACTAATGAGTCAGAATGTTTTTTAAGGAGCAATTCCTCTTAATCTCACTTACAGGACTGACCTTACAGCAGGGCTGACAAACCCAATTCCTGGAGGGCCACGACCCTGCAGAGTTTAGCTTCAACCCTAATTAAACACATCTGATCCAGCTAATCAAGTTCTTCGGGATTATTTGAAAACTACTGGTTTGCGTGTTGGAGGAGGGTTGGAACTGCAGCCCACCAGGAGCTGGATTATGGGGTGTGAATGAAAATAACTAACATAAAACCTTAGAGAAGATATCAACACCAAAAAGGATGAAGGCAAATGAAAGTTAAATGCGGCAGATCATGAGAGAGAATCAAACAGAGTCCTTGAGGGCAGATTTTCTGGCACAATACAGCTCTTTAACCAAGTTCAGGCCAGGTCAGCTCTCAGACAAACATGGCTGAATCCTTATGTACATTTGCTAATTCTCTCCCAAGTCCTTTTTAAAGCAATGCAGCGTGCAATAAAATGAAAACAAAACCATTTGACATAAAAGCATTTGTTAATTACTCATAGGTTGCATCCCAATTTGCATACTATCCAGCTGTAACATAAGTGCATCACAACACTTGTATGCTAAAGGTGTCCAAAATGACTATCTGGCTAATTTTTGAGTGTGCATCATTTACATTTAGTCATTTAGCAGACGCTTTTATCCAAAGCGACTTACAAATGAGGACAATGGAAGCAATCAAAATCAACAAAAGAGCAATGATATACAAGTGCTATAACAAGTCTCAGTTAGCTTAAAGGGTTAGTTCACCCAAAAATGAAAATTAGCCCATAAATTACTCACCCTCAAGTCATCCTAGGTGTATATGACTTTCTTCTTTCAGACGAATCCAGTCGGAGTTATATTAAAAATTGTCTTTGATCTTTCAAGCTGTTTAATGGCACTCAGCGGGTGTTGCAGTGCATCAGTCCAAAAGAAGTGAAATAAAAAGCACCCATCCATTAAAAAAAAAGTGCCTCACACGGCTCCGGGGGGTGAACAAAGGCTTTCTGTAGCTAATCCATGCGTTTTTGTAAGAAAGATATCCATATTCAAAACGTAATAATCACTTTAATGTAGCTTGATGGAGATGAAATTTATCAGTTGTAAACAGTGGCAAAGTATGAATGTATGTCTAAGGTGAATTTTAGGATAATGAAATTTGCTAGATGCAAATGCTAATATGCAAACGCAAGCATTGTGCACCGAAGTTAGAATGCAATATGGCATGTCCAAAATCAGAGGCTCTATCCATTAAAGGCTGCATTCCAAGACCGAATGCGTCACAATGGCACGACGAAGGTTGTCCATTTCAAAGACTCCTTCAAACGCGGCCTCAAAATGCATCCTTCATTTCCCAGGCCACAAAGGATACAACAAATGGATCCTTTGTGGATCAAACAATCACAAAATTCATTGTGCGCCAGTGACAACAGGATTTTTTTGAGAGAAAATGCTGAAATACAGTTTTAAGTAAAAGTACAGGGTTTCAACTTACTTGAATATTTAACAATACAAATGTTAAAAAAACACTTTAAAGGGGTGGTTCACTGGGTTTTTTCTAGGCTTGATTGTGTTTATGGGGTGCAGTCTAACATGTGTTAATGCTTCGTTTTTAAAAAAACGCATTATTTTTCACTTAATTTACCTTTATTCCACACCGCTTTGTCCCTTCTCTGAGGAACGTGCTGATCGTCCGTTTCGGAGAACCAGAGGACAAATATTTCAATCGATCGCTCAGGCATGGCACCGAAATGAGGCACCGAAATCTGCCTTCGGACTCGGTTCTAGTACATACCGGTTACATAGGTACCGGTGCCATATTGGTACCGGGTTTCGGTACCCAACCCTATCTCCGTTTGCATTGAACTTTCAGTTTCATAACTTTGCAGATATTGTTTATGCTCAAACAGCAACATTACACACTAACGTTAAAAAAGTGAAATCGCAATTAACCACCCCTTTAAAGTAGTTAAAATGTTGACTTATATCTCACCATAGCTGCGTCTCATTTCAGAGGCTGTCTTGCAACACAATGTAATTTAAAAAGGTATAGGGCCCAAAACACACTGTGGGGACTGTGCACTTTGTTTGCATACTAGTGTATGTAAAGGTGCGGTCACATCGTAATTTTGCCAAAATTTTGCCAAAAAAGGTCCACTGTCTATAGTCAATAGTGTAGCAATGTAGGAAACATAGTTCACACAGAAGTCACTTTCAAACCAAACAGCTTTATATTGGTGGCGAATTCATGTGTCAAACTTGAACCCATTTCAAAATATGCATTGGTAAATATTTTGCCTTTCCAATTGTGTGGATTCCTGTTGAAATCACTGGATTTCGCTGTCGTAAATGTGACCGCACATATCTACGTCACTATGTGGAAATATTAGCATAATGCCGCCCAAATGTGCATGTAAAGAAAGAAGGCGTGGTTTCAGGAACAGAAGTAGTGTTGATGCAGTCATGTCAGTGAGACGCTGTGTGATTCAGTGAGAGCCATATCCGGGTCAAGTCCAAGCCCAGAAGAAGGCTGCATCTGAGTCAAGTTTGAGACCAGAAGAGGGTCACTTTGAGTCAAGTCTGAGACTAGAAGAGGGTAAAGTCTGAGTCAAGTTTGAGACTAGAAGAGAGCCATATCCGAGTCAAGTCCAAGCCCAGAAGAAGGCTGCATCTGAGTCAAGTTTGAGACCAGAAGAGGGTCACGCCCAAGTCAAATCTGAGACCAGAAGAGGGTCAAGTCTGAGACCAGAAGAGGGCTGCATCGGAGTTAAGTTTGAGACCAGAAGAGGGTCGCTTCAAGTCAAGTCCAAGACCAAAGGAAGGTCATGCCTGAGTCAAGTCAGAGTCCTGTAGAGGGTCGTGTCCGAGTCAAGTTTGAGACCATAAGAGAATCGAGACCGAGATCAGAAGAGGGTCGCGTCTGAGTCAAGTATAAGACCATAAAGGGTCTCATCTGAGTCAAGTCAGAGACTTGAGGGTTAAGTCCAAATGCTGCCGAGTTCATGACAAGACCAAGACAATGAAAATATGGTCTTAAATGCTGGAGTTCAGTCTTGAGTACTACAACCTCTATACTACTCTATAATACTATAATGCTAATCTTGGGACCTAACAACACCCTTTTGCCATGACAATATCAAAATATATTAGGATGGGATAACAGAGCACATGGTGGAATTTCAAGAAAAGTAAATACTGCTGGTCTTAAACTTGAGTTTAAGTTGAGTTAAGTCCATTGTCAATTCAGTGTTGCACCCCCATTTCCCTGGAAACAAAATCTCCTTCGCCCACTTAACCTTGACTCCAACAAAAGACGAGAAACAGGACGGCCCTGAGGATACATATAATTTGTTACATCAGGCAACTCTGTGGCACACAATGGCCACACTAGTCCACGTGCCTGTGTGAAATGATCCCAGGCCTTATCATAGAGAACAGCTCTGACAGGTGCACTGAAGTAGAAGGACCACAGCCTCAGCACCAGAGAGCCAAACTAGTGAAAAGCACATAAAACTATCTGTCTATATTAAGATCTTTAGGGCTTCATTCGATGATGTAGCATGCATAAAGTACATTTGGATACACTAAACATGTCAATGCATTGGACACGAAAAAAGTGAACTCATTTTACTTTCTGGAGCCATTTTTGCTATTAGTTTCAAGTATGATTGCAGTAATTTTGGTGGATGTATGACGACTCTGCAATTACTTCTAAGGAGTCTCGTTTTAATTAAATATCCACTTCAGTTCCCTAAAGCAGTAGGTTATTATGTCTATGCAATCTGAAGAACACTGCTGTAACATCAGCATATACTGACAGACTCACCTGTAACTTCAATGGATTCAAGCATCGTCTCGCTCGCGCTGTGCAGCCTCAACTTTTCAGCCGTGAAGCAAGTTTTTTATATGAAATAATAAAACGCACATACGAAACGACAAATACTCAGTTACGCGGTTATAATATCTTGCATATGCACAGCGCAGAGTAATGCTGTAGTTTGCAAATCTCCGTTTGCAGGTTCTGAGCGCGCTCAATCTCCACCGCACAGCTGCTTCCGTCTGGACGCTGAAGCGGTTGCCATGGTGCGCCGTCAACGCTTCGAGTCGCTCCGAGACGCTTCGAGTTTTTAGACGCTTCGAGTCGTGAAATAGTTATCGGTGTAATTTTATAATCTGTGAATTGCTATTTTATTGAAGTGATAGATTTAAGTAAAACGTTAATTCAATAGTTTAAGAATACATTTCATAATACTGACAACACGGTAAATATTTGTATGCATTTAATTTACAATTAATTGATTGTAAATGCTTAAAACATAAGACCAAATATGTTAAGCAGGTTTACATTTTTAGTTAAATTATTCATATTGTATCTCTTAAATGTATCTGTAATTTTAACAATTTTTAAAAGCGATCTTTTTTCTTTTAACACTTTAATTTAACCTCGGAGTTGATGTTTTTGATGTTACAACCCTCCTGTGTATTGTGAATATATATTGAAACAATATTTAATATTTCTGTGATACACAAAAATTTGTACACAAATATCCCAGCTCTCATTACTCATCGTTCACATTCACAATGAAAATATGGTCTTAAACTCCGGAGTTCAATCTTGAATACATTTAATTATACCCATCTAAATTATGCCTTGAAGAAAAAATAAAAATAAATAAAAATAAAACCCGGGCCACACGCAGCTTTATACCTCCATCTTGTGGAGATAATAAACATTTGAAGCTTGTAAGACAGAAAGAAAGAAAAAAAAAATTCATATTGTTCAGAAAGTTAATGGAAGCACATGCGTCTTATGGCCAAAATTTATTTGAAGCCAAAAGAAAAAAAAAAAGGTTGTTACAATATACTTTTAAAACATCTTTTATGACAGACAAAAAAAGACATCAAGATTGTGTATACTGAATAAAAGTTCTACTTTAAAACATAATAAAAATACAATAATAAAACGCAAGTTTCATTTGTAGAACATTATGGCAATTAACATCCATTCATCTATATAAACCACATTTTAACACCAGATGATCAAATGTCCTTGGTTACAGTTCACAGCTCCGCATACATTGGGTCATTTTCAGAATTTCAGCCAATAAACATTACAAGTAGGGCTGCACGATAAATCGCATGCGATATTTAACGCGCATCTCGTCAGTAAAGCCATTCTGTAATCAGCGGTAAATCTCCATCACCTGCAGACTTTCACATTGAGCAGCATTAACTACACAGAGCCGTTGTTCACCGACAAGCTGCGCAAAACATGCGCAAAATATGATCGTGGTTTTGCGCAGCTCGTCAGTGAACAACGGCTCTGTGTAGTTAATGCTGCTCCATGTGAAAGTCCGCAGGTGATGGAGATTTACCGCTGATTAAAGAATGGCTTTACTGACGAGATGCGCGTTAAATATCTCATGCGATTTATCGTGCAGCCCTAATTACAAGCACAATCTCTATTATTATAGTTCAAAGGAAAACATGTTTTTTCCCCTTCACTTTACTGCCAAACGTTTTCTAAGAGGACTTGTGTTTTAGAACTGTGGTAGGCTTGTGTGATGGTACAGAGTTCAGTTTAGAAAACGCGAGTGGCGACTCACAAATCTTTGAAGATAGCGGGGATGGAACCATAACTTTGTACAACTTTCAAGTTTAAAGTGTCTTCTCGGGGAGTGTCCAAGAGCAACAGCTTTAATGGTACTGAATGTGTATCTTGTCAATCAGTCTATTATCTGCAGATCTTTGGGGAGCTGCTGTCTCTCTGTCAGCTTGGCTGTGGTTACTCCATGCTCTCAGGGTCTGCCTGGGCCATATACGCATCCAGCTCGGCATCCAGATGGCCCTTGGTCTTGGACATGTAAGCATCAAGCTGGTTGTCCAACTGCTCACGTGTGACGACGGGACGGCCTGCTCCTCGGCCTCTGCCGCGTCCACGACCCCTTCCTGCAAACCCTCCACGACCTCTCAGTCCCCCGCGGCCTAAGAGAGACAATCATAGACTTTAATGTTGAGAGACAAACATTTAAGCATGCATGCAAGAACAAAACGGAAAACGCTAACTGGCAGAAGACTGCATTTAACTTTTTTTTTTTAATGTTCAAGTCTCATTGAAACAGAAGTTTCAATAGTCTTTTTTCCTTATTGTGATGTATATATGAGCAAAACGGCTTCTTGAACAAGTACGTAGATTCATTGGTGGTGGTATTTCTCACCTCTTCCTCCAGGTGCTCCTCGTGCTGCTCCTCGGCCACCCAGAGCACCTCGTCCTGTGCCTCCTCCACGCTGACGCATGCCTCGACGGAGCCCGATACGTCCAGGACCACCCCTTCCTCTCATCTGACCGGCACCTAACAGATAAAAACAATCGTTCCACCAGATAAGATGATAATCCAAGAGCAGCAATGAGTCAAAATGACAAGATACTCCCTTAATTTCATTTCAGGTGCAGAAATGATCTCCTTTAAACGGGTAATAAAAATTCTGTCATTTACTTAAGTCTCATGTTGTTCCAAACCTGTATGACTGACTGACTTCTGTGGAGCATAAAAGATGGAATTTTGAAGAATGTTTTGGTTTAACCAAACAGTTTTGGTTCCCATTGCTTTCAACTCAACTCTTTTCATCAGTGGCGACTGTGTGGAGAGGGTCTCGGACTTCCGGTTTCTGGGCATTCACATAGAGGACAATCTGACCTGGAGTGTCAACACCATTACTGTCATCAAGAAGGCACAGCAGAGACTACATTTCCTGAGAATACTCAGGAATTACCAGCTCACACAAAACCTGTTGGTGTCCTTTTACCGTTGTTCTGTGGAAAGCATTCTGACATACTGCATTTGTGTGTGGTTTTCTAACTGCACTGCTGCTGAAAGGAAGGCTCTCCAGAGGATCATCACCACAGCCCAGAAGGTAATCGGTTGTCCCCTCCCCTCGATGGAAGAGTTACACAGTTCCCGCTGCCTCTTGAAAGCTCAAAAAATTCTCAAGGATCCATCTCACCCAGGACATTCTCTTTTTGAATTGCTACCTTCGGGCAGACGGTACAGGGTTCTAAAAACCCGAACAAACAGATTAAGGAATAGTTTTTATGCTAAAGCTATTTCTTTTTTAAATACTGCAAAAAATTTTAATTAACCATCATGTGTGTTGAAGACATGAAGTGTCCATCTCTGTTGATTGTAAGATTAATAGTTTACATGCCAAGCCATATCTGTTCTAAATACTGCAATAACTTAACTGATCATCATGTGCAACATTGAATGAGTCGTGCAGCTCCTGTTGAATGCGATATCAAACAGTTCACATGCTTAAACTATCTGGTTTTGAATACTGCAATAACTTAACTGAACATTTTTGTGTACTGTTGAACTGAATGCGTAGCAATCTAGAGAATGCCCTTTTTAGACCACAGCTGCTTTCATTTACTCTCTCTCTCGATTACATGTGAAGACACCCCAACATATTTGCTTTAAACTGAACGTCTACGATGTGGTTTAAAGAGAAGACAGAGATAGAGAAGAGGCAGGGAGATTTCTGAGTGATTGCCACTTACAGGCCGCCATCAACCGACTGTAATGTCATCAGTCCGAGACACCACGCGGTGAGTCGACCCAGGGCTAGAGGGGTGTCTGGCAACCCAGCCACTTACAACCAAGACCGTGACCTGGCACGCTGTTCTGTGAGACGCCTCTGATGAGAAGAAGGGAAGGGGGTTGGGGGGGACAGGTCACGTCTAGGTACGGACTGAGCACCTTATTCTGTAGACAGCCAGAGAGAAAGTGAGAAACGCAGAGGAGGAGCAGAAAAACTCTTCTGGGAGAGAGAGAGAGAGTGTGTTTTTGTGTGAGAGAGGGTAAGAAATACAGATGGCACACACACCATCCTGCATTATCAACTCATTCCCATGGCTGAGGATGCTCTTCTGCAGTGCAGTCGGCTTACCTCGCCATTACCCTCTCACCTCCGGGTGTGCGCCGCTTACGCAAGAGACACCGCCAAACACGGCATGCTATCAGATCTTTAATATCGACTCAAGTAATCGCCGTCCTGTTGGGTAAGCGGCGCACACCGTGCGGGCAGTCTAGCGTCCACGTCAGGTCTGATGTCTCCCCCTCAATGACCTCCATAGTACACGTGTCTTGAGGCTTGCTGCCTTAGTTATCTCTGTATGCTTTTCCCCCTGGCCTTGAGATAATGCTGTCAGGATGCGTAGCGCCTCACCGCTCATTCAGGGACACCTTGGTGGTGCTTTTCAGCACGACTTTTTGAGAAGAAGGGGCACTCATGTTTCTTCAGACTTGCAGGGATCTCTCCTGCAAGAGAGAAACGGCAGAATATAGATGGTAGGTATCTATACTGCATGAAATGAAAGTGAAAGTCTCACAGACAGAAACAAGGAAGTCAATGGAGAAATCTGATGTTAGAAAAGGTAATACACTGGCTGGATTTTAAAATCTCGTGAGCTGACTACCTAAATCGGGGATTTCAATCTTGTACATGCCTCGGGCCCCCAAACATGAACCTTCTTAAAGCAAGGGACATCCCTCCTAATATTCTGTGTCCAAAATATTAGTCAGAAAATTGTTTCTATTAAGTGACCGCTTTCCCCCTACTTTAGTACTGTAAGATTTATTTACATGTTTAATTATTTTCTAAAGCGATTATCTTTTTTTTGTTTGTTTATTGTAATTAGGGCTGCACGATAAATCGCATGCGATATTTAACGCGCATTTTTGTTAAATAAACAAAACCACTGGTAAATAAAACGCACCTTAGTATCGATATTTTTTGTTTGAGTATCGATACTTTCGATACTCGCGTCAGTATCGATACGCCCATCCCTAGTAGTTAATGCTGCTCAATGTGAAAGATTTACCGCTGATTAAAGAACCGGCTTTCTGACAAGATGCGCGTTAAATATCGCATGCGATTTATCGTGCAGCCCTAATTGTAATCCAATTTATTTAAACTACTTTTTTTTTTTTTTTTTTTTTACAGTTTCTCTAAACTTTTCCACATAATTCCTAGAACTCCCTTGTGATCCCGTTTAATACACTTTTTTATTCTTTTTTTTTTTTTACTTAAAACTTCATTTAAATCTTTCTTTTTTATTATTATTTTCTACATTTCTTACCCAGTTTTTCTCCAACTCTCTAATTTTCTCAGATCCTTTATAATTATTTTTAATCAACCTTAAATATTAGTTTGAATAATTTATTTTCTACATTTTTTCCACAGACTTCCCACAAGAATTCCCTTGATGCCCATTCATTTTAAACTTTTCTTTATTTATTCAGATAGATTTTGTATTTAAATGTCATTTTGTTCTATGTTCTATTTTTTTTATACAGATTTTCTCTAAACTTTCCTACTGACTCCCTAGATGCCTGTTTATTGATAAACTTGATTTATTTTAACCAAGTTTGTATTTATTTAAATAGATTTTTATTTAAACCTCATTTTGATTATTTATTTTCTACACGTTACAAGTACCAAAGACTATAGAATACCCTTAAAGGGACTTTGCTAGTACGTAGTGATGCCCAAAAATGCTCAGTAGGGTTCAAAACATTATGTTATTCATACCAGGTGTCAACATAATGGAAAACCAACGAGATTGACCAGTTTCGGCTAGCAAATGTATTTACGTAACGTTAACTCAGTCTGACTGTTCACCACTCTTGTACTTCAATATCACCGTAACTCGCTCGTATTTGTATATAACCAATCCAATATTTTATTTATTGAAGTGTGAGACATACTGAACCCTTACCTTTTCTCTGAAAGACTCGTGTAGATCTGTTAGCTGTGTAGCTTTAGCGCGACTCGACAAAACTCACACTCCAAACTTCTCTACTTGCCGCCCGAGAACTGTACAACTACCGCCCCTCTTCCAAATATATTTAAGAACTTAAAAACAAAGCTATATCCCACAAAATTGGCTAAAAACACCAATCTACTTCTACTCCACAGCTCTTTCGACCTCTCTCCCCTCGTTCATCACAAAATGGTGCTAACAACTGCGAGAGCTAGGAAAATGGAGCACTACTTACTGCGTCAGATATCGCGAGATTTCAGCATGAAAGGCTGTGTGCCAAATAGCGTACTACCATACTAGGACTAGGGTTTGTGCGTGAACGTTGTGCACCAAGATTTTACGTACCTTAAAATTAAAAAAAGGTGAACGGTACATTTTAAGGTGCTCTGAGCAGGTTTAAACCATTTTAAATTAAAATTTAAACATTACCATATACTTACAGTCATGCAGTCCTGCGGTGAGACAAAATAATTTAAATAATTTAAAATGACAAATATTGCATGCAACAGCTCAATTCATATCAGGTCATAAACTCGTATAAAACATGTATTATTTCATTTTATTTAATTTTATATTAGGGGAGAGGGGGGTGATTTGAGCCTGTGGGAAAGTTGAGCCACCCCTTGTTCCTAGATAACCTTAAACAAAACTGGTGATATGAAAACCAAATATGAAGATTTTTCCATTTTACCCACCCTGTGATGGAGAGAGGCCTGTGGAATAATTGGTAACTAAATTTAGGTTCATAAAACCTTTTTTTTTTTTTTTCTGTTCAAAGTGATTTTTGTATGTTCGGTCTGCATTATGCATACTGTTCACAGTATACATCATTGCATATTTTCACATGCTAGTTTCACATTCAATGTATACTGCGTCGTAGATAGTATGCAGTACGCTAGTATTACTACTGTATTCGAACACAGCCGTGTGGAGCGGGGTAATTTGAGCCAGTGGCTCACCCCTTATGATTATGAAGTATTATTTTACTGTAATTCTACATTATATTTCATTCATTTTAGACCAAACATGTTTGATTTTGTTCTTTGTTTTGCACTTTTGTTTTGAACATTTTAAATAGGCCTTGTTTATGAAAATTGGCCATTGATGTTTTATGAAACTGTATTTCACTGCAACATTTAATGTTGAGTACTATTAGCCCATTTCTGTAAGGTCCGTTGCAGTGTATTTTTTTAAATTCTTCAATTGAACTTTATTTTGTTATAATAATTTAAAAAATACCTTCAAAGTTGTGAACTGTAAACAAAAAACATAGGCCTACCATTAAAAGCCGTGCTTGCACAGGTTCTGCACGATCCTCTTCAATAATATCCTCTGCTTCTCAATCGGGCTTAAACTGATAAGCGATATTAACAACTCCGTTGTTTACAATACAACCGGAGCACATGCCGCTGAGGTGAGGGGCGGGACATCTAGACGCGCACTAGAGGCGGTTTAGCCAATCACAACACACTGGGCTAGCTAACCAATCAGAGCCCATCGCCTATTTCTGAGGGCGGGGCTTCTTAAAAACAGGAAAAGATCAGCGCGTTTCTCAGAGAAGGGACAGAGCGGTGATAAATAAAGGTAAATTATGTGAAAAATAATGCGTTTTTTTTTTAAAACTATAAGCATTAACACATGTTAGACTGCCCCACAAACACAATCAAGAGCCTAGAAACAAACCAGTGAACCACCCCTTTAAGAAGTCATCTATCCATCCATTCTATTATCCAAACCTTTGTCCATATTAGGATCGTAGGGAGCTGGATCGTAACCCAGCGTCTTGAGCCACAGGTCGAGAAAAACCCTGGATGGATGGCCAGTCCATCCCAAGGCTTACACATAGATTTTAAGAAGTCATTTTTATTGAATTTCTCTTCTTTTGATATAGCATGAGGTGAAAATGTTCAGTTTAATTTCAGCATAATCAGTGGCACAGTACAACTCCATGTGGCTGAACATGTGCTCGCTTTAAACAGGGCGTAAGTAAAAACAGGCTCACCTTACCCTATTATATATTATATTATATTATATTATTATTTTTTTTATAAAAATGTAATATTCCACGGACCCCTAAAATATGATCCTCATGCGAGGATCCTTACTTTGAAATTTAAAAGACAGCTACTGTATATATTTTCATGCATAAATCCCAAATCTATACTGTGAAAAATTTATATTATAATTATGTTGAAAATATTTAGTTACATTATCACGTTATTTCCTCACAAATGTACTATTTGGTGCATTGTTTGTTGGTTTTAATCTTTTATTATTTATTTTCATTCATTTATTCAATCCTTTTTATTATTCATTTATTTTAATGTAACATTTTTACATAGTTTTTATTTTATTTTATTTTTTTTCTACACGGAGTGTCAGCACTCACTATTTCTACGGTCTGCATTATGCATACTGTTCACAGTATACATCATTGCATATTTTCACATGCTAGTTTCACACTCAATGTATACTGCGTCGTAGATAGTATGCAGTACGCTAGTATAACTACTGTATTCGAACACAGCCGTGTGTGTGGCGCAGAATATGCGCACATTTAGAGATTCGCTGATGTACAAATCATCGCACAGCTCTTGTCGTGATATCTGCAGGGCGCAGTGACTAACGTTAGTGTTGTTGTCAAATCAAAGCTCAGTAAAGATGGCAGCGCTAGCAGTGGTGGAAACCCCATCAGGGAAAGATGCTCTCGCCGAGGGTTTGCTGGACCTCCTGAGACCCGCTGTACAGCAGCTCGACTTACATGTGCACTCAGTCAGGTAGTGCATTTTGGAAAACGTGTGTTTTTTTTTAAACCCGAGAAATGTTTAGTGCAAAATGAGCAGTTCTGTTTGCTAACATGCTAATGACTGTCAACATGACAGGTCTCGTGACTCAGAGGTGCTGTGTCATGTCAAACAATAACAGTTCATTTATTTCGTTTTCTCTTACCTTTTCGTTGTGTTGCACGACTTTTGTGTTTGAGATGTGATGAATAGTCATGGATTTTACAGCTACATCGTTTATATAATGTAAATTTGTCTTCACAGAGAAAGCCAAGTGGAACTTAGGGAACACATTGATAATTTGGCATCTGGTAAGTTGGTCTGACGTGATAATGCATTTACAGTCTTCCTCAGTCGCTTTGGCTTAATTCTTGAATGAGATTTATTTTTCTCAAAACAATAAGTTCAGATCTCTGGGCAATTTGTGAACCAAAGTTCACACCAGATTGCACGTGCTTTGGCACCATCGAGTTGATTCTGAGTGAAATTGTAATAATCTTCTCAGCTTATAAATATTCTTTCATTGTATCCCTTACGAAAAAGAAGTTTATTCAAGTGTGCTATTAGTATACTTCTTTTAAACTAAAAATAGGAAAGTATACTTTGTCTACTTTTTATGTACTTCTCAGAAATGGGCTTTATGTACTTATCAGAAATATACTTAAAATGACATTTAAGTATACTTGACTTATACTCAGAAAAAGTCTAAATATATTTTTGCTATAATTGTGCTCCTAGAATCCGTGTTTTCATTGTTATACGGTAGGGGGCGCTAGTACACATCTTCTGTACAGAATTTCCAAAAAACACAAGTGAAGAAGAAACCGAAACAACAGATGCTTCCACATGTAATCTAACACGATCATCAGACATAAAACAGTATCAAAACTATGTAACATTATGGAATAAAATGTCGACCAATGAAGAGGTAATAATAACTGTCAAGCTTTGGGGTGTTGATCGACCCCATCTTCGTTTTGATTATCGTTCTGAATCCAATTCATAGTCTTTTTTTCAGCTTTTTGTTCAAAATGTTGTTTATTTCTTTATTTTTTATGAAACTTACTTATCCACATTCAAGTGTTTAAAAAAAGAATGCATGAAGCTAGAATAAAAAATTTTTTTTACAAGCAGATACCCTGTTCTTTCTTTTGATGTTTTGTATGTTCAGATATTCATGCAACAAAATATATACAAATTAATACCTAAATAGGGACATAGTAGTATACTTAAAGTATGATGTAAAGTTCACTTAAAGAAAACTTACGAGTATACTTGTAGTATAAAACTACTAAACTAGTAGTTTACTGAGACTATACTTCAAAGTGTACTAAAAATGCTACTACAAGTATTTAATTAGTAAACTATCAGTATACCTATAAGTTCACTTTTAGTATAGTTGCAGTACAAACTAAACATTTTGATGTAAACTAGTGTACTCAAAATTTACTACTGTTATTACTTAAGTATACTTTTATATACTAGAAGGTGGGCGAATTTAGTCCCAATGAGTACACTGATATTTGTATACTTACTACATAAAGTATACTTAAAAATATACTTGAACTTTACTTAAGTATACTTACTAAAATAAACTTGAAGTATACTTCTTTTTGGTAAGGGATGAGCCATCACGTGCAAAATTATCCATTTAATTGTCAAAAACTGTCAGACATAGATGTGTATTCGGTAAATATCTGTGACACGGAAGGTTTGTGATGTTTACTAAATTGGCAAAATGACATGCCATAGTAATAAAATAGGAATCACAATTATACCAATCAACAAGTGTGGAAGCATATATATGGATATATACATGTCAATTTGTGGCAACCATCTGTTCATTATATATGAATTTACATGTTAGACATGGGTAAAAATGGACATGCAAATCTGAATTTTCTCTTTGCATGTAACACATCTACAAAAATGATTGTACTGTCTAAATACAAATTCTGTGTACTACAATATTGCCTATTTCCTGTTAAAATCTGTATCTTAAAAGCTCAGTGTGATACGCAGTAGAATTCAGCTAGACAAAAATGAAATTTGTATTTTAAAAAATGTCCATGGGTGACTTTTGTGGTGGAAAAACCTAAACATTTTGATCAGTACAGCTCACGCAATGACAAGAACACTTAATTTAGGTGGCATTGGCCAAATTACTGACACAACAACTAGGTTTTGAAGCACAGATTGCATGTTTTGGATGATGCAATAGAGTTGTCTCACAAAACAGTTGTGACCGTTGCACTTCCAGCTTCGAGATTATTACAACTCTTTGAAAAAACAAGACAAAGCAATTCAATAGGGTGGCCATACATCCTCTTTCTACCGGACATGTCCTGGCTGGGATTTATAAATTGCCAATTGTTTTCATACTTGCAGAAAGTAATGACTGAAAAGAAGCTTGACCAATAGTGTGCAGGCATTGTACATAATCGACCAATCAATGCATGCGAGAAGGTGGGATGATCTACAGAGAACGTCGAAGCAATGCAAATACACGTGCATATATATATATAATGTATATGTAGAGAGAACATCAATAGGAAAACAAAGACATTTTAGGCAATTTAGAAAACCCAGCCAGGACATGTCTGGGAAAAATAGAACATATTGTCATCCTAGACTGAAAAAAGTGACATGTTATGACTATAACTTCTTTTGGCATAGAATTAAAAATGTGACTGTATGTCTATTTGCAGTATTAGTAAGTATTTAGTAATCTGTCCACATTACAAAATCTATATAATGCAACTCTCCTACCCCTTTCTGCAGAATTCATGAATATTATGTCATCTCACGTGAGCATTTTTTCCTGCAGAGTTGAGTAGGATCAATGAACACCAGAAGGTGGCACTAGACTTAGATCCATATGTTAAAAAACTGCTTAATGCCAGGCGAAGAGTGGTGCTCGTCAACAACATACTCCAGAACGCACAGGTAAGAGATTGAGACTTTGAATATAAAACATCAGTCAGTATGCACAGTATTGCATGGTGTTTTCCTCTTCATCTTCTCCAATCTTTGTTACAGGAGCGTTTGCGAAGGCTGAACCATAATGTTGCTAAGGAGACGGCACGCAGGAAGACCATGCTTGAGGCATCTGGAGCATTTACCCCACGCTCTCCCAGCAAACCATGATGTCCGAAATCTCACATTTTGGGAATGCACCATTACACTGTGCTCAATGCCAAGGACCAACGCTGTAGATTTGCAGAATCTTCCTCACATCGTTAAAGGGCGCTGGGCTATGCAAAGCACTGCTAGCAGAACACTGCAGCATTAATGTCTGTTCACTTAAGAGGAGTCTGGGAGACAGCAGTGTAAATATGCACTCATTTCTTTCTTGAACGTGACTTTTTAATAAAACATTTGTCTGTATGAATTTAACTGTTGCTGAAAAATGCAATGCTGTGGATTTGCTAATTGTTTGAACATTTAGGATTTGAATTATTATTATTATTTATCAGAACTGTCTAATGTACCTGGCCAGTAAATATTCTGCTGTCAGTCTTGATCTAATCAGTGAAAGCAGATTATTGTTGTAATTTTTTTGCTGACGTGTGGAAATTATCCACACTTAACAGTATAGTGTATTATTTTCTTACCATATTTTTTTTTTCTTGGGTTGAGACTCTATACACATTTTTATCTAATTATTTTCTGTTGCAAATGTACTTCATGTATTTAAAGGAATCGTTCACCCAAAAATGAAAATGTACTCACCCTCTGCCATTCAAGATGTAGATGAGTTTGTTTTTCATGGGAACAGATTTGTAGAAATGTAGCATCACTGTCTCACCAGTGGATGCTCTGCAGTGAATGGGTGCCGTCAGAATGAGAGTCCAAACAGCTGATAAAAACATCACAATAATCCACACCACTTCAGTCCATCAGTTAACGTCTTGTGAAGTGAAAAGCTGCGTGTTTGTAAAAAACAAATGCATCAAGACTTTTTAACTTTACATGGTTACTTCTGGCCAAACTATGAGTCCATAATCCATAATAATGCCAAATTAACGTCCAGTAATAAAGTCCACCCCTTGTGCTCACATCGAAATCCACCAATATATATATTTATTTAGAACTGCTTTGGACTTTTTTTGCTTGTAAATGGAGCTTATTTATATTATATTAATATTATCTGTGCATATTTCTCTCCTGATTCAGACAAGATTACTTTTTCACTGGAGAAAGCAATATTATTTGTATTTTAGACGGAAGCAACAGTTTGAAGTTCAATACATCTTGATGCATTTGTTTCTTACAAATGGTGTGGATTACTTGTGGATTATTGTGATGTTTTTATCAGCTGTTTGGACTCTGACGGCACCCATTCACTGCAGAGGATCCACTGGTGAGCAAGTGAAGTTGCAAGATCTCTTGTCCTTAGAATGGAAATCAAGAGGGTAAGGGTGAGTAACTTGACAGAATTTTCATTTTTGTGTGCACTATCCATTTAAGAAAACATTCAAAACATATTCTAAAACATTTGAATCTTAAAATATATACATTTTACTTTTTATTTAGCCCCAGAAGACGGAATACTATTCATTAACATAACTTTTCATTAACATTGTTCATTTAAGAGTGTTAGAATAATTTATATATAAAAGTCACAGATCAAGCTAATACAAGTGTGTAGACATAAATGACAATTTTAGGGGGGAAATGAACTTCCCCAGGCATTGCATTATAATTGAATCAGCAGTAAAATCTTAGGTATGCACATGTCTTATGTAAATAGTGGATGCTTTGTAAGAGGATACGAGAAAGGGCTGAAGGTGACCTCTTGTTTTAGCTGAAAGGGAGAGGGTTAGAAAAAGATTTCAGGACAGGTGAAAGGTCAAGGGAGGGAGTCTATCAAGGAGCAAGTTGGAATCACACGAGGGGCTCCTAAAAGTCGCTCCGTTGATGAGAGATTAAAGACAGATTGCTGGAAATCACTTGAATGCAACGAGTAAAATGAAAGAGTAAAAGCCTTTTGGAGTCTGTTCACATTTGATGCTCACTGCATATGCAAACTTAGCTCAAATATGTGCATGCCACTGTATGCTGTTCCTGCAAAATATATCTACTTGTGTCCAAAAGTAGTGAAAATGCTAGAACATCTGATCTTTTGTATGAAATGACTATGCTTTCTTTGTTTTATAGCCCTACACCTTTTGTTTGTTTCTAGGTTTAAATGAACGAAATCCCAGATTTTCAACGTGCTCTCAGACTTTTGGGCACCGTTGTATATTTTAGTCCTTTATTAATAAGAGCATGATACATGTTTTCTAGTGCTCGGTGCATACGGCCCTGGAGTGCGAGTCTAAAAGTAGCCATCACTGGCTGTTGTAAATTTCAATCATCGATGGAAACTGAGGAGGGATGAATGGGGTGGGGTGAGCCGATACGGGGCGGAGTAATCTCACCGGCGCCACCTTAAAAAAACAGTCGCGCCGATATGTCAGTCCAGACGCGACCCAGACAGACCTCGGGCCGGGGGCCCAGCCGTGAGAGCCGTGTCGTGATTGGCTGAGCGCCGCCGTCCTTTTGAGACCCGCCCTCCTATTGGCTGGAGCCGGGCGAGACGCTCAGCGCACAATGTCTACCCGCTTTTGTTATTGTAGCGAGCGGGCAGGATGCGCGGACGGAGACGGCGAGCCTGATAGTCCGGTATCGACTCCGAAAGACTGAGATTAGATGTTGGAGGGGGAAGGGGACGCGAATTTCTACCTCTCCGTCCTTGTCCAGAAGACAGCTTTTCGCTATTCTGCAACAATACGACCGATGTGTGAGTATTTTTTTTTTGGTGTGTTTATCTTATTCATTTTTAAATGCACGTTGCACCATTCGAGACCGTATAAGAAACCGAGCGGATTCAGCGATACATTTCGTTCGCTAAAAAGCATGTTTCGCCAAAGGTGTGCCTGGCCGTGTCGCAATAGCTCATCTTTGCCCTTGTCTTAGCTTTGAAATATTTCGTAACTGTCTAGAGAGAGTATCGAGACACTGACATGTCCACCCTCTCCCAGCAAGTGCACGAGCAGGAGGCTGTTCATTCATCAGTTCGCCTTGGTTTTGTCGACCCGACTAGTTAGTTACCACGACTGCGCTCGTATCCAGCGGGAGCTCGTGAAACGTTTAGACGACGGACTCGATGACGTCACGCGACCGATTATGCGTTTGTTTGCCTGCAGAGCAGTCAACAGTTTGGCTTTAACTTTGCATGACATTTTATGAGCTGCAGTATAATCCTACTTGGATAAGGTATAGTTTAAACATTAGGGCTTTCTGTTGAATTAGGCATACTCTCATACAATAGTGCGTGTTAAATCTGTTAATAAGTGTCTACATCTTAAAATGGGACCATAAACCTTGGGGCTTCGTCGTACTGTGAGATGTCTAAAGCTGGGTTTGGATCCGAATGTACTATTGAATCAAGCTGCCATGCAAAGTACACTGTACTATAGCTATATGATGAAATAACCGAGTAATACACCCAGATAAGAAGAGAGGAATAATGCATGAGTGTGTCAGTGAGAAAAAAATGAAAAAGAACCCTCTTTCTCAAATATTATCAGTTCATCTGATGGCATTGTATATTCTGTCTTAATGTAAAGTTGTTCCTCTGGTGCTCTGCCTCAAGGGCCACTTGCGCAGACATGGAGAGCATCGCTGAGTCTGATAATAAGGGTCTCAGAGACGCTCCCCCCAGATTAGAATTGATGATGCTCAGAGATCTGAAGTGTCAGGATCCGTCAGCGCTCCACCAGCTCTCAATTACCACTGCACTCTAGAAATCTTGCACTTTTGCACTTGCGGCATCTCATGCAAAGATCACAGGGGTTTTCATCACAGCAGCACGAAGTTCTGCTTCTTATGTACAGAACACGAATTCAAATTCATCACAGCTGTTTAAACCACCTCAGTCACTTACAGCATATGCAGTTAAAACATTTTTTTGATATTAAAACACTTTTTTCCCCCATCTCAGTTCATTGTGCATGGAAAACTGTGAGTATGTGACCTTCAAGTGAAGTCAGAAATGTCGTAATTACAAGTTCCGACCAGGCAAAGTCATATTTACGAGTGCAGAAAATCAAATTTCTTGATAAAACACGAGTTGCCGAGTTGTGATGTTGGAAGGGGCTGTGTTTATTTGAAACATTGTGAAAATACTGATCTATAACATAGATATCTTACATACAACATAGGCCTATCTGTAACCTTGATAGAGATCAGTGAGAGGAAAGCAATTCTGCAGTGAATACTGAATGATTTTGCAAGTTACTTTAATTTGACATGCTGTATTTGAATTGTTTTAGCATTGTGAATTCAGATGTAATTTTTGGGGATTATATTGTTCACAGTTGCTTTGTTTTGTTTAGGCTATGTGACTTAAATGCAAATTCGTAATAACGAGTGCCTGACTTGGGAGTACGAGTTTCCCAGGTGCACTTGAAGGCAGAATAAAGCCATTTTTTGGCTGGCTTTTTACTCTGTGTTATTGCTTTTTTGCTTATTTAAGCAGTTAAAACATTTTTTTGATATTAAAACACTTTTTTCCCCCATCTCAGTTCATTGTGCATGGAAAACTGTGAGTATGTGACCTTCAAGTGAAGTCAGAAATGTCGTAATTACAAGTTCCGACCAGGCAAAGTCATATTTACGAGTGCAGAAAATCAAATTTCTTGATAAAACACGAGTTGCCGAGTTGTGATGTTGGAAGGGGCTGTGTTTATTTGAAACATTGTGAAAATACTGATCTATAACATAGATATCTTACATACAACATAGGCCTATCTGTAACCTTGATAGAGATCAGTGAGAGGAAAGCAATTCTGCAGTGAATACTGAATGATTTTGCAAGTTACTTTAATTTGACATGCTGTATTTTAATTGTTTTAGCATTGTGAATTCAGATGTACTTTTTGGGGATTATATTGTTCACAGTTGCTTTGTTTTGTTTAAGCTATGTGACTTAAATGCAAATTCGTAATAACGAGTGCCTGACTTGGGAGTACGAGTTTCCCAGGTGCACTTGAAGGCAGAATAAAGCCATTTGTTGGCTGGCTTTTTACTCTGTGTTATTGCTTTTTTGCTTATTTAAACATTTGCTATATTTGGACTTGCATACCAATCTAGTACCCTTACTATTTCTGCAGTATTTAGTATGTATACTGTGCAAATATGCACTTTTTCTGAATTCATGAAGCAGATGGTCTATTACGATGTCCAGTAATATGATAAAGCACACTGCATGGAATACTGTATCCCATATTTCCAATGCACTCCACTTCCATTCCCACTTCCCAGTGTGACAAATTATATATTTTTTTACTCATTATTTGATCAAACTGCCAAAAGACTTAAATTTTTTATACAAAATATAATATGGCAATACAAAATGAAATGACAGCCTCATCTTGACATTCAGGAAAAAGAAATTAAAAAGACATGCACAATTAAGAATTAATTCCCACTATCGATTTTAAAATGAGAGAACAAATTATTACAACGTAGTCAGATTGCCACAATTTACTAAAATAATGGGACGAATTTGTATAAATTGCCACAATTTACTAAAATAATGGGACAAATTTGTATAAATGGCCACAATTTAACTAATACGATGGAACGAATTTGTATAAATGGCCACTATTTAACTAAAACGATGGGGCGAATTTGTATAAATGGCCACTATTTAACTAAAACGATGGGGCGAATTTGTATAAATGGCCACAATTTAAC